GTGCAAAGTCGGCTCCAGGTACGCCCGCGTGGCCCGGCTGGCGCTGCGCTGTGCAGCAGGAGGGCTGAGGAGGGGAGAAGGCAAGGAGCTCAACCGGCCAGGCATGCTGGGGGGGGGGCAACAGATTTGGAGACCTGCTCAGCCACACGCAGCTGGGCAGAGGTTTGAAAGCCCAGTGCAGCTATTGAGCTTAGATGGGCACTTGGTGTCTGCACCCCTCCCTGGTGCCCCAAAACCACCATTGTGCCAAGCCCCTGAGCTTCACTTTGAGCATTTTTCTTCTTCTTTTTTTTTGCTTTTTTGAGAAAGCAAAAGGTGGAGAAAAGGGCTTCGGCAAGGAAGAACAGCGCTATGACCCAAGGAGTTGAGGTTCGTTATTAAATGCAGCTGATGAGCACGGCCTGCTCTTGGCTGCTCCTGTTCGCCTTGGTTTCAGTTTCCTCCTCATCTCGCAGGCCCTGGGAAGCCTCCGCAAGCCCCTGGTGAGCCGGCTTATTGCTGTGGAGGTGGGCAGCAGCCCCCCCACCCTGCGGCTGCACGAAGGCTGCAAGCAAGGAAGAAACCCACCCCGTGAGCTGGCAGCAGGGGCTCAGTCCTAGGAAGAAGGTCAGATCCTGGCCACCCCCACCACATGCAATTCCCCATCCCAAACAGACAAACACGAAGGAAAAAAAAAAATCCCAATCCAGTGAACACTGGGTGTTTCACTAATCTCTGCTGTTTCAAATGTAGAGGGGCCTCTTGCATATAAAAGAGGGGTAAAAGCAGGGCTGCGGGCTGGTGGCAGGGGGACCAAGCCTGAGCCGGGGCCAGCCACGCTCTGAGGTGTCATGCATTGCTGCAAGCCTGACCCCAAAGCTGCTCTGCAGCTGAGCCCCTACAGAAGTCATAACACCTACCCAGGGGTGCTTGGCCCCCATCCCACAGCCGGTCACTGGGGTCCTTCAGCCCATTGCAGCCTCTGAAACCCCCCTCCCCCCCCAATCTCTGAGCGCAGCCCAAAGCTGCTCCCGCACCAGCCCCAGGTGCACCAGGCAGAGCCACCACGCACCACCAAGGCAGGGGCGAAGGAGATAATTTTGCATCAATGACAAAAAAAGGCCTATAAATAGACTCAAGAGAAATAGTGAACGTGGCAGAGCTGTTTTTTGGTGGCAGAAAGTGCAAAACTGCACAGATGAAATTGCAGCTGTAGCGGTGCCCCAAGCAGGTTATTACTGCCTGAGCTGCAGCTGAGCTCCCCACTGCCAGGAGCCAGGGCTGACTGCGGGGAGCTGGACGAGGGTCATCTCCCCCTCGCCAAAAAAAACTTAAAATGGGAGAAATGCAAGGGTCTGAAAGCAATGCAGAAATGAGCATGACTCACCTTTTTCTTTAATTAAAAGAAAAAAAAAAAATGCAGGTGGCTTTTGCTGGCATGTCCCTTCTCCTGGGGCCAGGCGCAGCCCCTTGCCTGTAAGGAGGTGCTGCTCTGCGCCTTAGGTAGGTCCCAGCCTGGGAAGCCTCAACTCCAGGCTCCAAAATACTTCCCCCCCCACCCCCAACGAGTGCTAATTCGGTAGACGCAGGCCCTGCAGCACGAGCCCTTCGGCTGCGCTCGTGCTCAAAAGCATCAACTTTGCAAAACCAAAAATACTGTGAAATTGCACATTAGAAAAAATAGTGGGAGAAAATTGTCATGTTTGATACATTTCCTGGCCGGGATCACAGAAGAGGGCGAACGCGAAGGGCTGGGGCAGCAAGGGGACGGAGCCGTGTGTGCAGAGCGCTCCAGATGCAGCTGGGTTCAAGCCCCGAGCGCTGCCGTTTGGGCACAAAGTGCTGCCTTTCGACAGCAGAGACTCACTATAGCGCATCAGTGCCTGCTTATTAATTTTACAGTTCATAATCAAAAATCTTATGCCCTTGTTTTCCAGAAAAGGCTTGAAAGGGGCTTTCCTTTTTTACTACTGACATAAATCCTTGAAAGGCTTCAAATGGCAAAAGCTTCGTCAAAGCAGCTTTCAACGCTACTGAGCCTTATAAAACCCACCCAACAAGCAGGCCGAACGCTGCAAAGGGCAAATTATGGGTCTCCAACATCCTCGTTCAGCCCAAACCCGTGAAATGCCCTGCAAGGCGGCACTGGGCCGATGAGCACGAACCCAACCGTCATGCACAAGCCCTTCTGCAAATAGCTGCTTTATTCCCACTTTATTCCCCTAATTTCCTGCTCTCACGCAAGCAGCGCTCCAAGCACCACCACCCTTGGCTTTCCAGCCCAGGTGTCATGAGTCCAAAGTGCTCAGACATTCAGGGCAGCCAAAGAGTGGAGCTGCAGCTGGACTCAGCACCTGAGCACAGCCAAGGCAAGCAAGCCATGCCTAGCCAGCAGGGCAGGTGCCAGATCTCCCAAGGGTGTTTTTTTTTCCTCTTGCTTTTAAGCTTTTAGGTGCAAGCGTGGGCACAGCCGACCTCTTCCCAGGACATGCTGTGCCGTGCCAGCGGTGACGCACGCGCCCGACGACGTGCCTCCGAGGAGCTCCCTGTCCCGGCCGGAAGCGATGGCTCGTGGAGAAGTACAAACCTGCTCGTCATTTGGCTGCGTTTATATCAAATGGTCAAATCGATACATCACGCTTCAAAATAAACTGCAGCCTGTGCAGACAAGCCCGGAAAGAAGGGTTGGCGGAAGGGGAGCTGGTGCAGCACGAAAGCTCCACAGGAAAGAAAAAAAAAAAAAGAAAACACACATACACACAAATGGGAAACTAAAAATAAGACACAAAATTTAGTTTATTGTGTGATAAAGCTCCTAGAAAACTCAAAAAGCAATCAGCCTTAAAAAATAAACATGTCAGGTAGGTTCTGGATTTGCCAGAGGGCCGAGATTTGAGCCATGCGGCAGTGGCGAGCTTTTCTGGCCCCCGCCTGCAAGCCCAGGGCTGTCAGAGCGCGGAAGCGTCACTGCTGTGTAATTAAGGCAGCAGCACCAGCGAAACCAAATTCCAGCCCAGGCCAAGTTTCCACCTGACAGAGTCATTTATCATAGCAACACCCGCAAAATGGCAAATGCTACTCAAATGGCTTCTTGACACTGCAAACTTGCTGTCCTTGCACATCACAAGGCGCTGAGCTCTCCCCCGCCACGGTTCCCGCTCGCTTGTGTCAGATAAGGCTAAGCAAAGCTCCCTTTGCTAAGTCTTTCACCTTTTTATCACTTCCTGTTGAGACTTGTCCTGCCGCATGCTCCTCCCTGACCGGCATGCCGTGATGGCAGGGTGCAGCCCCTCCAGCACGAAAGGCCAGGAAGGGGAGGAGGTCACGAGCCAGGTGGGAGCTTGGGAGCATGGGGACAGCCCAACGTGACTGGCCTCTGAGAAGAGGACAAAGCAGTGGCCTCCTTCATGGAGCCGCATAAAGCATCGCGTGAGCAAAGCGGTGCCCCCAAGGGAGGACCACAACATTACGGAGCCAACAGGACGTGCACAGGTCCCCAGCTGGACCTGAGGTCACTGATGCCATTGCAAAAGGTCACAGCTATTGGGGACCTGCTAATGATGGGAAAAAGGCAAACATCACAGCCCTCTTCAAGGAGGAGGGTCCGAGGAACCACAGGCCAGTCAGCCTCACCGCACTCCCCGGCAAGTTACAGACCAAATCCTCCTCAAGGCCCTTTCCAGCTGCACAGAGGAAAGAGCGGGACAGGGACCAAGTGGACATGCTGAGCGGGGGGGCAGCAGCGTGCAGCCCTCACAGCAACGAGGGCTGAGCGCATCCTGGGCCGCATCGGCAGGAGCGCGGCTCGCAGAGGAGGGAAGGGATCTTCACCTTTATTCAGCGCTGGTGGGACCCATCTGCACACAGTGTCCAGTTTTGGGCTCTCCAGTACAAGCAAGACTGACAAACGGGAGCAAGTCCACAGAGGCCCACCAGGCTGAATGCAGTGTTGGGAGTACACGATGTGCAGGGACAGCCTGGGAGACCTGGGTTTGCACAGCGTGGAGAAGAGAAGGCAAAGGGGGATCTTACTGCTACAACTCCTAGCAGGAGGGCATGGAGGAGCCAGAAGGAGACTTCTCAGAGGTGCAAAGTGACAGGCCAAGAGGCAACAGGCACAAACTGGAACACGGTGAATTCCAATTAGGTATTAGGAAAACCTTTCTCACCATACAGGTGGTCAAATACTGGAACAGGGACTCGGATGTTGTGGACTCTCCATCCTTGGAGATACTCAAACATCTCCTGTACAGGACCCAGGGCAACCTGAACTAATTGGCCCTGCTTTGAGCTGGGTTGGACTAGAGACCTCAGAGGTCCCTTCCAACCCTAGTTATTTTATGACTGTGTGTCCCAATTCAGATTCAGTTGAAATTTTAATCTCAAATCCTACCACCAGCAAGGTAATGGCTTCCAATCCCCACGGGGTCCTACTGTAAAAGAATGAAATTGCACCTCTTGGGATAAACAGAAAAGAGCTAGGCCAGCGTAAATAGATGCACAAAGGAGGAATTCGTTCGTGTTTCAGAGTAACCTGCACAATTTCAATGCTCAAAGATTAAAAGCCTGATGACAGTGTCATAAAAACAATGGAAATTTTTCATACCCGGCTGTTGAATAAGGCCCCTACATTCAGAGCTTTCAGTTCACCTACACACTTATTAAAATGCATCAGAGCCAGTCCTGGAGAGCCGGCAGGCTTGCGTGGGTAATGCCGTGTGGCACGTCCGTGACCTCTCCTGGGCAGCGGGCAGACCTCAGCCGAACTGCTCTTCCCAGATGAGATGGCCGAGTTGCTGCCACGGGCTCTGGCATAAGCAAGTACCTTGCAGCTGGCAGGCTTTGGTTTTCAGCCTGCATCCGTCACCTTGAGCTTTCTTTCCAGGATGAGCCTAGTATCTTCTCTACTCCCAGCAGTTGGTAGGGGCTGAGGACCTCACTGGGGTCAGTCCAGCCTTTTCACCATGTAAGGCCCTTCCAGTTCATAACCAATCTTCCTGTAGTAGTTCCTTGTGCCAACACCTGCCAGAGCAATGACAAAAAAGCCTAATTCAGTGTGCTGACAAACCAGACTGAGAAGCCAGGGCTGGCCAGGAAAGCCAGGACGTCCCTGCAGGAGGGACGTTTAGTGTGAAACAATCTCAGCAGACCACGCAGCCCAGGACTGAAGCAGTTTCAGGACCTCTGAGCAACCTAGTCCTCCCCTGAGGCACGCGGAGCGGCAAGGGGAGCACACCTTGCCTTCACTAACGTGACCGTAACACAGCCCAGTATCGCAGTGCCGGGAAACCACGGTGCGGACTGTCCACCGGGCCCGTGGGGCAGACGGCCTGAAAGCAGGTGCCGAAGGGAACTGCCTGCCTGCGTAGGTCTCTCCGAATAGGTGGCCCTGAGCCTCCTTGCTCGCCAGACGTCAGCATCGGGGAAGGATTACAGGTATAACAAAAACCAAAAGGCAGGCTCTCGAGAGGAGGCGGCCCAGCTGCAGGCATCATTACCAGGAACTGAAGGGCTCTAAACCCCAGCAAACGCTGGCCAGTCGCTCCCAGAAGCGAGCTCAGCTCCACTTCAGATATACAAGTGGGCTCCGCAGTCGCAATCCAATTTCCTCGTTGAAAGGGAAGGCTCCGAACGCGTCCGTTCTTAAACCACCTCTTCCCCCTCCTTCCTCTCTTAATGAGGCCCCGCAGCGTCCCAGCGCCGGGCAAGCCCGGCTCCGCCGACAAACACTGCCGCGCAGGCAACATCCTGCAGAAAGACAGGTCCATTACAGCAGCCATCCCCCTCACCTTATCTAATTACTCACAGATGCAGACATTAGTCAGCGGGAGGAGGGAGGAAGAGCTCAACATCGCGGCATCATTGTCAGTGCAGCTGGTGGATGGGGACAGAAGGACAGATAGGACACGGCTCCAAGAAAAGCAGCCCCTCTTACCTCTAATCTCATCCCTGCGGCGAGTTCCTGGAACCCGTGGCATTTGCAAATGGCTCTCCAGGAATCGGCTGCATCGCTCGTGTACGGAGTGACCCCATCCGGCTCATAACCCCTTCCTGCTGCCCCCCCCCGTTATAGCCACTCGTCTTTAGCTATTGCTGCTTTGACAGACTTGTTTAAAAGAGCGGTAATACATCTCCTGAACCTACCTCGCAAAAGCTACCCACCTGCTTATGCACCTCAGCTCCAGCCAACCCCCCCAGGCCAACAGTTTAGAGCAGCCGAACATTAATTTGAGGTAGGGAAACGGAGACATCCAAAACCCAGACGTGCCAAGAAGTGCTCATGCCCCTCATTCCAACTCGAGCTGAGAAGAGCTTGAAAAATCACAGCCAAAGAGCCCCAAATTCACTCAGCTGAAGTGTGAGCCTGAAGCCAAAGACAAACGCAAGGCTCCTGCCCAGACCTCCACTCCCCCCTTCCTGATCTCTGTTCGGGAGAGCTGGCATCCCTGATCTTGTGCAAACCATCACCTTTAGCAGTATCTTCCCAAAAAACCGTCCTCCGGGTTCCTTAGCAGAGATGCTAGCAAAACCTGTATGCCATATCCCAGCAGAACAGAGCCACCCCATCAGCGGCCCACAACAATTTGGTTAAAAGGATTAGTGAAATCTAAAGAACAATCTTCTTGAAACTGAGGGACAACTGAGTAATTCAGCTGATGGTGTTTTTAAAACACCTCGAACAGAGTTACTTAACCCTCCTCCTTTTTACTAAAGCTCCTGGAAAACGTGGATTTTAAAAGAAGGTAATTTAGGTTGCGTTGGAGCATTATGTGCTGCCTCCGTTAATCTCAGAGCTATTAAGTGGTGCTAGTTAAGTGCCAGCTCTTCCTCATTTGGGGGCAACGGGTTCAAGTCATTAACACGACTGATGATGGAGTTGGCTGGCCCTGTGCCCCAGGGGTCCCACCCAGGGCTGCCTCTGAAGTGTCTCAATCGTCATCTCAGCCGCGCAGTGACTTCTTGCACAGAATTACTGGCCTTCAGCAGGCAAGTCTTCTGAGGAAGACACTCCTTAAGCTGCGGGCCTCTGGCAGGCCAACCTGGGATGTCTCACTAGCTCCAACACCACAGGGAAGCTACCTGTTTTGAGGGGGAAGCTCTCACCAAGACCATGCCAAGAAACAATCATTGCATTCAAATGTGTAAGCCAAGTGTATGGGATTATAGAGATGCTCCCACCATGCTTCAGGCGTCAGCCCATAACAGACCTGGGAATTCAATGCCTGGATTAAAAGATGATGGGAAGGCAAAGGCAAAAATTTGCTGCTTACAAGGGAACCGTGCAGAAGGCAGAGCCCATCCACGCAAGAGACTTCATCCTGCTGCAGCGTAATGGGGCAGGCTGGTCACGGTACAGTGGCAGCATTTAAATCTGAAAGCAAGGGAAAGCAGGTACAAGCCAGCCGGGCAGACTGCTTACAGTCTAATTTGGTGCAACAGGAGGGGATCAGAAGATTGAGGAACACTTGGTGCTCAAGCCTGTACATCTACATTATATGTAACGGGTGTATACTGCAGACTAGATGTCTGGTACCCCAGACTCAACGTTCCCACCACAGACATGGTTGGAAGACAGCCAAAGAGGAGGCTTGGGAGGAATACAGGGACGTTGTCAGAGCGTGCAGGGATGCGACAAGGAAGGCTAAGGCCCAGTTGGAATGAAATCTGGCAAGGGATGTCAAGGACAACAAGAAGGCCTTCTTCAAATACATCAATAGCAAAAGGAAGACTAGGGAAAACGTGGGCCCGCTGCTGAAAGGGGCGGGTGCCCTGGTGACAAAGGATACAGAGAAGGCAGAGTTATTGAATGCCTTCTTTGCTTCTGTCTTCACTGCTAAGGCCAGTCCTGAGGAATTCCAGACCTTGGAGACAAGAGAGGAAGGCTGGAGAAAGGAAGACTCTCCCTTGGTTGAGGAGGATCGGGTTAGAGATCTTTTGTCCAAACTTGACATCCACAAATCCATGGGCCCCGATGGGATGCACCCACGAGTGCTGAGGGAGCTGGCGGATGTTATCGCTAGGCCTCTCTCCATCATCTTTGAAAGGTCCTGGAGATCAGGAGAGGTGCCTGAGGACTGGAAGAAAGCCAATGTCACGCCAGTCTTCAAAAAGGGCAAGAAGGAGGAGCCAGGAAACTACAGGCCTGTCAGCCTCACCTCCATCCCGGGAAAGGTGATGGAACAGCTCATCCTGGAGGTCATCACTAAGCATTGTCTGGAGGACAAGAAGGTGATCGGGAGTAGTCAGCATGGATTCACCAAAGGGAAATCATGCTTGACCAATCTGATAGCCTTCTATGACAGAATGACTGGCTGGGTAGATGAGGGCAGAGCAGTGGATGTTGTCTTTCTGGACTTCAGCAAGGCTTTTGACACTGTCTCCCATCACATCCTCCTAGGTAAGCTCAGGAAGTGTGGGCTAGATGAGTGGACGGTGAGGTGAATTGAGAACTGGCTGGATGGCCGAGCGCAGAGGGTTGTGGTGAATGGCGCAGAGTCAAGTTGGAGGCCTGTGGCTAGTGGTGTCCCCCAGGGGTCAGCACTGGGTCCAGTCTTGTTCAATATATTCATCAATGACCTGGAGGAAGGGACAGAGTGCACCCTCAGCAAGTTTGCTGATGAT